TTAGGTAATTAATATTCATAGATTTTTACCCAAAACTAATCAAATCTGCGCACTAGTTCAGAGCATCCATGTGCCAAATTTCATCAAAATCCAATGAGTGGTTCTTCAGATATCAGTGGAACAGTCTTGAAACAGCTAAAAATCAGCTAATTATCATGCAAATTAGGTAATTAATATTCATAGATTTTTACCAAAACCTAATCAACTCTGCGCATTATCCCAGAGCATATATGTACAAAGTTTCATCAAAATTTGATTAGTGGTTCTTGAGATAACGGTGGAACAAAAAAAGTGACATACATACATACATACATACATACAGACATACAGACAGGGTAACTGCAAAGACTCCCTTTTGTGCTTCGCACACGGGAGTCAAAAAAAACTGCCGAAAAAACGCCGGGCGATTTCATAGTCTGTTGCAGACTTCTCGACTGACCGTCCATACACGTGTTGTCACTGTACATCCGCCATTTTGAATCGCAGGAGATCGGCAAAATCTTCATTACAACTAACAGTTTAATGCTCACAACATAAAAAATACGAATATAATCATAGGCAACCTACTATTATATAACGAATAAATTGATCGATACAGGGACACTCCCCCCGAGTTGTGGATATTTCGGAAATCGCGACACAAGCAAAAGACCGGATAACGATTTACTGTAGTTGAAAACTATGTCCCCATGTACAATAATTTGACAGTTTACAAACTAGTTTCGTAGATTGGAGACAATTGTTTGCTTTTTTGGCTTTTCACAAGAATATAAAGTTGGCAATCATAATATTCACGTCCGTCACGGAATGTTTGGCAATCGTACCCAATATACATTCAATTTTGCTGAAACTGGAGAACTTACCTTTGCAAACACGTTTCTTATGCCGCCTTCTTGAAGTTCTTGAAATCAAATAAAGTTACTAGTTCTTCTAGTAACTAGTGAATGAGACCACTGAGCCAAACAGAATACATGTATAAATAGTACTATAATAAATTGCACGCAATGGAGAAATCACATGCCGTAATAACAGCAGCATTACTCACAGATCTAATCTACTGTAAAATATTTTATTTCAGCTGGATTATCATTCGCTGAAAAGACTTTTTCTGGGTGTTTTGTATTGAATTTATTTTCATTGATTTTTGACAAGTTGACTGTAAAATATAAGAAAAGGGTATATTCACTAGATTTTATTTTAACTGAAACATTCCTTCAGCAAAAATAGCAAAAAAATGTTGCAAGCAAAAATAAAGTATTTTACAGTAATTAATTTATTCTGAGCATGCGCAGACGTTCTGTCAATGTTGCC